CTCACTGTTGTCCATGATCTTCACTTTAGGAAGACTTCTTTGTGAAATAATCTCCAGAGGTTCCAGGGGAGTTATTAGAACAGAGTTGGCCTTTTTTATTAACTTCTTGATCTTGTTAAAGTTATTACTCTCCACAACAGACTTATAGAAAATAAGTAGTATTTTCCCACACAGACATAGATGTGTAAAAAACAGTCACTGCATTGATGTCCTCTCCATGTGGCTGACACAGTGCATCCCAGTCTGTAGCATCAAAACAACCCTACAGAGCTTCTTCAGCTTCCGGTGACCAGCTTCTTCTAGTTATTTTTTTTGTCTTTTATAAGGTGGATAATACTCTGAGCAGAGAAAAACAAGCTTAGGATCTGACTTCCCAAGAGGAAGTCTTACTTCAGATATGTAAGAGTCCTTGACATTTGCATAAAGTCCAAAGTTTTGTTTTCTCTGGTTCAGCAGCTGACAAACGGTTGGAATGTTGGCAGTGTAGCAGAGAGTGATGTGTGATTAAAATCACCAGCTAGCATTTGGCTGTTGTGTCTGTAGCTTAGCAAAAACTGAACTGATTATTACCTCACATGCAGTGTCCACAACAACAGGAGATGGAATATTACTAACAGAACACTGGTAAACTCTCTAGGCAAAAAATATGGTCAGAAACCAATTGCATACAGTTCAATATCTGGGCTGCAGTGAAGAATCTTCACAATAACATGTCCTGGATGACACCATCTGTTGTTCACGAACACTGCCAACACCTAAAGAAGACTAGAACATTTAAAGGAGTTGTCCTTTAAATGTTCTAGTCTTCTTTAGACCTCTGTCTGCTTATATGGTTAGACTTCTTGGCAGAGAGATCCTTGAGTCCGAGATATGATCCTGCAGCTGCGTTTTAGTAAAACATATACTGCACTGCCGATAGTTCTGCTTGGATCTTGCTGAGGCTTGGAGTTCTAATTTGTTTCCTAAAGGGCTCACATTGCCCATGATGATTGATGGTTTACACTTCTTGCTCCTGTGTCTCCTTGCTCCTGCTGTGCATCACTGGTGCCTCCTTTTTAACTCAGCTGGTACTTACGGAAGGAATTGATGTATTATTAGAGCTTTACAGATATTAATTAGCTGCTCCTGGGTGTAAAATATTTGCATTCTGTGGTTGCTGTGGTTATGCATCATAACTGATATCCAAAAAGGAAAAAAAATATCAGTAAAAATCTCTCAAGTTTCACAGGGCTTCCCAATTGGGTTTTAATTTGACAAAATCAAATAAATACCTTATAAGCTTTCATGTGTCGTTAACATTTACATACAAAAATAATAGCTCATGGGTTCAATTTGCTCAGTTTCCAATTTTTACCAGGTTGTTCCAGCCTTCATCTATTTCTCACATTGATAAAACTGAGTTTGTTTCTCTTAGTGGTTGAGGTTTTGTATAAAATTATGCAATTTCTGTTAAAAAAAAAAAAAAATCAAATAAAAACTTGTGAATTTTATGCAACATTTAACTAGTGTGTTCAGAATATTTAATAATCTGGGTAAGGGCAATGAAGTATTATTTCATATTGGATAATCTGATCTGCATTAAATAATTAACTGGACTTGACTCATAACACCAATGCCCTGTATAAGAAGGGCCAGAGCCGCCTCCACCTCCTGAGGAGGCTGAGATCCTTTGGAGGGAGCAGACCCCTGCTTAAAACCTTCTATTACTCTGTTGTGGCATCAGCCTTCCTCTACGCTGTTGTCTGCTGGGCAACTTTCAGCACAGAGTGGGACGGAAAGAGACTGAACAAACTGGTGAGAAAAGCTGCTTCTGTCCTAGGCTGACACTGGGCTTAGTGGAGGAAGTGGCTGAGAGGAGGGTGCTGTCTAAGCTTACATCCATCATGGGCAACACCTTCCACCCCATTTGCACAAGAGTAGAGAGGAGCTGAGCAGCTCCTTTAGTGAAAGACTTTTACACCCTGTTTGTAAAAAGGAGCGCTACCGCAGGTCATTCATCCTTGCTGTAACCATTATCTACACTGCGACACTGCAACGGCAATACCTTGTGCAATGTATATTGCTCAATTACTATTTGATACCCTGTGCAATAACCAGTTTCACTATATTTGACACCTAGTGCAATGCTATAGTGTCAATCATTATTTAATCTTGATTAGAATTTGTTCAAATATGAAAATGTCTTCAAAAGAAACCATTATAGCTATTAGCATACTGTTCCTCTATATATTTTTGACTTCTAGCATACTTTGATAGAATGAATTAAGTGAAATCTTGCTGGGTAGTTTTAACTTAAAAATAAGGTCTGAATTCAGATTTTGACTGAATTGTTTTTTCCGCCAAGGGGTGATTCGGATGTGCATGGCACATGTTTCTAAGTCACTTGAGGAGAAATGTCCTGGGTCGTGAGTAGCGAGGAAACAGGAACCGATTCTTGTGGATTAAGAAGGAAAAAGTGAAAACAAAGCAGATTGGAGAGAGTAGCATTAAAAAATGAGAAAAAGGGGAAAAAGCAGGGATCAATTGAAGAGGAGTCCAGTTCAGAACAATGTGATGAACAACCTAGAAATTCCATGGAAAATTTTAATTATTACAGTCATATTCAAAGTAGTTAATCATGGAGACTCTTGCAGATTGGAATCCGGTCCAGTTAACAAAAACGATAAACAAACTTGTAGGAGAAGTCCGAAGTGCCAAAATACTATATAGTGGAGACCTATTAATCAACTGCAGAGACAGCGCTCAACAAGGCACAGCCATACGGATTAACAAGATTGAGGGGAAAGAGTTCAGTGCAGTTTGGTTGAGAACAAAAGGATTAGCAGGGGAGTCATTGGAGGAGTGCCTCTTAAAGTAACTGACAAAGAGATTCTGGAAAGCATAAGTGGTGCAAAAGTAAAAGAGGTGAAATTGTTAAAAACAAAGAAATGGAAAAAAGGTTAATCACATTTGAAGAAAAGCAGTTACTAAGTAAAGTTTTCCTTGAATGAACTGAGCTACAATGTAAAAATGTACAATCATCCGCCTCTGAGATGTTATAAATGCCCCAAATTTGGTCATATGGCAGCAGTATGTAAGGGAAAACAACAATGTGAAAGGTGTGATGGAGAGCATGAATATGGAAAGTGTGGGAAGAAAGCTAAAATTAAATGCTGTTACTGTGGTGGAGAACATACTGCTGCATATTGCTGGTGTGAAGTGAGCAAAAGATCTGAAGAGATAAGTAAAGTGAAATTAGAGCTCAGAATAACGTATGCTGAAGCTGCAAAAAAAACCCCATCCCAGTCAGAAATACCCAAACCAGCAGTGGCCCAAATGACAAGATCAAAACCTCTGGAGCAATGTCCCAAAATGGCAATAGATTAATTGATTGTAAAAAAAAAAAAAAAAAAGAACGATTTTGTACTTTTCATGATAAAAGTGATCAATGGTAGAGCTCAGATAAAGAAAAAAAATAATAATAATAATAGTGAAACTGCAGAAAAGTATCTTAAAGTTAGAGATTTAAACTGGGAAATGGTTGAAAGTATGATGGGAAAAAGAGTAGGACCATCATAAACAGGCAGATCGATGATAACTTAAAGATAAATTAGAAATTATGAGGACGAATTTCAATAAGCATTTATTATGTTGGGTCACACAGAAAAATATTATTATTATTATTATTA